CTCTGTGCATCCTTATTTATTGTACTTTCCACGTGTGCCTGAAACCACTGGGGCCATTTATCTTCTCACCAAAGGCAGCAACGGAGGTGGGGGGCAGCCTCGTTCTTGGCCAGAGTTCTTGCTCTGGACTCGGACTGGCTGGGCTCCTGCCCTGGCTCTGCTGCTTAACAGTCTGCGTGGCTCTGGGCAGGGCAAAGCCGGCAGGTGCTCAGTACAGAGCCTGGCACACAGTAGGGGTTTAACAAGAGCTCCCTAACAGCCTGGCTGCGGTGGTGGCATAGTCTGGCAGCTGGTATCAGACTCTGCCACTTACATGCTGTGTGAGCCTGAGGCTGTCTTGTACCTCTCTGAGCCTCAGTTTCCTCATCTGGGAAGTGAGGATGATCCTAGGACTACCCTGGTGCACTGGAAGGCTTAACTAAGATGTGCATGGAAAGCACTGGATTCTTGACTTTCTTGTCTGACCTTAGCCGGGCCGTCACCTGGATGGATTTCCTGTCTCCTCCACTCACACACAGGTGTTGGGCTGCATGTAGAATAACCATAATATGAACAGTTGTGATTTATTATTTATCAAGCCCCTACTGTGTGCCAGGACTCAATTAAGTGCTCTGTGCACAGGCTTATACAGGCCCCACTGTATGAGAGACAGGAACTGTTAGCCCCATCAGTCAGATGAGAAAACAGGCTCAGTGGCGCACACTGAGCCAGGATTCGAACTCAGGTCTCCAGAGACTTGTGATCTCTGACTCCTCCCCTCACTGTTTGCTAGGTCAGAGCTTTTCTGTTCAGCAAGAGGAAGGGATACCAGATGCATTTATTGAGTTCTTGCTGAATACCCGGAGCACTCCTCATTACTCCCATCCATTCCACTCAGTCAGCCAGCCGGGTGGATTCTCTCTGTTACAGACAAGAGTCATTGTCAGGATAAGGAGTGAAGAGGCAGGGCCTACGTCTCATCATTATGCACCAGCGACCCCATCGAATGCCTGTGCTGAGTGTAGGGGACACGGGACAGGTGGGCCCTATCCTTGTTTCAGGGAGCTCCCAGTTTCAGGGGTGGATAGTCAGCTTCAACCTAGTATGAACAGAAAGCATTATTGAGACCCGATAGCAAGGATTTCCAGCGATCAGGGGTCTCTGAAGTCTGAGCAGACCTTCCCAGGCAGAGAAGTTCAATGGTGCCATGCCAGACAGGACAGGCATTTGAGGTGGAGGGCCCTGCAAGTGCAAAGGCCTGGGGGCATCAAATAGCACCGCCTGGGGAAGGCAGAAGGAGGGGGATCTGCAGATTTTGGCAAAAGAAGGGGTAGGCAAGGTAAGCGCTTTGGGAGAAAGAAGACTGCGGTTTCGGGCCCGGGTGCCCCATGAAGGTTTGCCTCAGGGTTCGGAACACCCTGGTGCTTCACTCCCTAGCTGGGGCTGCGGTGGAGGAAGGGACTTGCTGCCACAGATGCCACTGCCGATGCCACCGCTGCTGGCTCTGGGGAGGATTATCTATTTTAGCAACTCGGGAGGGTGGAGGCTGGGAGCGCCCAGCCTCTGCCAGTTAGCACAGGCGGCTCCAGAGCGGAGCGCACAGAGGAGCGCCTGGCTCCAGGAGCGCAGGGAGGCTTGGGCAGGTCGTGTCCCTGGCCCTGGGCCCCGAGGGCCCCGAGGGGTTGATGCTGGCTGTGTCGCTCAAGTGGCGGCTGGGCGTGGTGAGGCGGCGACCCAAAGGTACTGAGTGGGGAGATGGGCAGGGGGCAGCCGGGCTGCCTGCCCAGGGGCTGGGCGGCTGGACCCGATCCGGTTGGAAGGCGGAGGCTGAGGGCTCCTGGGGACCTGGGGCCTCCTTCCCTGCCCCGTCTCTGCCTCCACCCCATCTCTTCTGGCACTGTTTGGGCTTCGCTTCTGTTCCGGGTTTCTTTCTGAATCTGTGTGTGTGTCTGGTTTCTCTCTGCCCAGCCGGCTCTGTTGCCTTCTGCATCTCTCCATCTCTCGGTTTGTCCCCGCACCGCCCCCACCCCCCACCTCTTTGTCTGGCGGAGTCTCTCTGTCTCTCTGTCCATCTTTTTTTTTTAATTGTTAATCTAGTCTCATGGACCATATTGTTTTCAGATTGTTGTCCTCTGTCTTTCCATCTTTCTCTCTGCCTCTGTCTCTTTCTGTTCTCTGCCTCTTACTGTCTCTCTCTTTGTCTGGTTCTCTCTCATCTTTGTTTCTCTCTGCCCCAACCTGTTTTTTCCTTGTCTTTCTCTCCCCTTCTGTCTTGTTCTCTCTCTCTGTCTCTCTCTCTCTCTCTCTCTCTCTCTCTCATGGTCCCTGTCTGCATCTGACTGTCTCTCTTCCTCTCTGCTTTCCTGTGTCACAGTCCCTTTCATTGTCCCCCTCACATGGCATGTCGCTGATGGCCTTTATTTTCCCTTCTGTTTGGGGCATGAGGTTGTCTTGGTCGAGCTGGGCCGGCAGGGTTGCTGCGTGTGTGTGTGTGTGGGGGGGGTGGGGGCCAAGGGCTGTGTGTGGGCATTCAGGGCCGGGGGGCCGTGGGTGGAGGCAAGACTTGACCCTGGGTGACATGGAGTGTGTGCTGAGCCTCACTGTGTGCAAAGCCCCATCCTGCACAGGCGGCTCCAGGAGGGGGCCCGGGAGGGGGGAAAGGCTGAGGGGTGAGTCGGGGTCAGAGTAGTGTCCAGCTGGGAGTCAAGCTGCCCAAGCTGTGTGACCCTAGGTTTCATCTGTGGCTTCCCTGTGCTGCCATCTGTCCGTCGACAACATGGAGGGGAGGTGGGAGACGGTGGATTCACAGTTTTTATGTTGCCGGCCTCAGAACTAAGAATAATCATGCTGTTAATAAGAGAAACAGTCAGTGACATTAATTCAGTGCCACTGTGTGCCAGGCAATACATTCACTTAGTGATTCCTCACAACAGCTCTGCAAGGTTGGTCCCGTCCTTATCCCGATTGTGTAGACGGGGAAACAGGCACAGAAAGGGTAAGTGGCTTGCTCTAGGCTACACAGGCAACACTCAGAGGCTCTCTCAAGCCAGCTCTCCTAACTGCCATGAACATTTTCTGGACTTGGAGGAGCCTACAAACAGAGGGGCTGCCTGAGGAGTGGTCAAAGGGTAAGGTAGTAGGGTCTTTGGGGTATCAGAGGGACTCTAGGCTCTGTACTTGCCCTCAGGCTGCTGCTGGTCTGACATGTAGAGGCCTTTGTCAGTCCCTTCCATACAACAGAGCAGGAAAAACTTGGAGAGTATCAGGAACAGAGTTTCCTTTGGGGCTTTCCAGGGACTCCTGTGTTGGGACCACCTCCAAGGGAGAAGTCCCCTGCCCCGTCAAGGCTGTTGTCCTCCTCTTCAGGTCCACAGTCCCTGAGAACCGGGTGGGATCCTCCTAGGCTGGAGGGATAGACAGATACATCCCGGGCTGTCCTCGGGTTTGGGAGAACAGCCAACTAAATACTGTGGATCAGGCTCTGCCCCCTTGGAGGTGGAGAAAGTACTTGTATTATCCATAGCCCACCTGGATTCAAATGCTATCCCCGTTCTTCCTTCCTGTGCAGCCCACTCAGAACCTCAGTTTCCTCTTCTGTACGATGGACCCAGGAAAGGCCACCCTTCTGAGATTGCAGTGATGATTGGGAAAGACTAGCGCAGAGCCTGACACACAGTAGACACCTGGTAATTTTGAACTTCATGTAGCCACTCGCTTCCTACTCCCACCCCAGCCATATGCACACCACTGACCCCAGGGTGGTGTCTGGGACCAGCAGACCTGTAACAAAACAGAGGGGGGAGCGCACCCCAATTGGGGGCACACGGTGTGCTGGCGTGTGCCAGGCTCCTGTCTGACATCTCTCCACTTCTTTGCCGGGGGCTCTGTCAGAGGCACAGGGAACTTGTTTTCATCCATTTGTGAAAATGTAAAAGCTCAAGGGAGAAGGATTCAAGGGGGGAAGATCGGAGGAAGGGGAGGTGTTTCTTCCGTTTATGTTTCCAAAGCATTTTTTTTAATGCCTAAGGGCACATCTTCCCACTTGTAGCTGGTATTTTCTAGCAGGCCTTCCTGTCCCGTATCTTTTCTGGGTAAGGCCCTTAAGTTCTTTACCCTGTGATTGTTTAAGGGTGGGGGTCTCTGGGCCTTGCGGCCAGATGAGACCCCTCCTGTGTCCCTCAGACTGGGATTTGAGGCTTTGCCCAGATTTGTGAGCTATACTCCCCGCCCAGACCGGGACTGGAGATAGGAGGTGTTCAGTCCTGACTCAGCTTCCCCAATTTTGGTCAGGGGTCCGAGGTGAGAGGAAGCACCTAACGTGTATGCACAGATGGAAACACGGCCCTGCTCCATCTCAGACAGCCCTGACAGTGTCTGGATGTCCGCATCTGGACAGTGAGGAAACGGAGCCCTCGGGGGTGGGGAGGGGCCTGTGGCGCTGGCCTGACTCTAACATGCATGTCCTGGACCCCAGTGCCTGCAGAGGACACAGACATTCCCAGGCCACTGTGCCTTCTTTCCTAGCCTGGGCATAATGATGGCATCACCCCAGAGGATTCTGGGCTATCAGATCAAGGTTTCCTATGGGGCTATGCTTGGGCCTTTGCGGGCATAAAATGGTCATGTTTGATTCAAAGAGTGAGGGATTTTGTTTGCTGTGTGTGGATGTGAGGGAGGAAGGATATACAGAGCACAGGCCCTGGAGCCAACAGCCAGGGATTTATCCCAGCTGTGCAACTGGGCCTAGTGGGCCTCAGTTTTCCTGTCTGTAAAATAGAGTTAATATTAGAGCCTTCCTCCTTGGGTAGGCTGCAAGGACAACTGAGGTGAAATTTTCAGAGTGCTAGGTGTCAGGGCCCCCGAAGGAGATCACTTGCAGTTCCTGACCCAGAGGGCTTGGGGGAGGAGGAAATGATGTGTAGATGATGTCGGCACTTCAGTGCGATGGGGTGGGGGTGGGGGTGGATGGGTCCACTCGGTACCTGGAGAAGAAAGAAATGCTTTTGCTTGAGGGAGGTCAAGGAAATCCCCCCTGAATGGAGTTTTTAAGGATGAATAGGAGTTTGCCAGGCAAAGGGACTAGCTAGCACAAATATCTGAAGCTTCAAAGATCTGCCTCAGGGAGCTGAGAACTTTGTGAAGAGTGTAAAGAGAGAAGGGAGCCAGGGTGGAGGAGGCAGGAGGTTATGGAGTTTGGACTCTGTCCAGAGGTCCGTGGGAGCCATGGAAGGTCCCTGAGCAGGAGAGAGGGGAGAACAGCTTTTTGTGTTAACATAGGCTCTGGCTACAGTGCAGACTACAGGTGAGGATGCAGGGAGGGGACTAGGGTGGGGTCCAGGTGAGAGGTAGGGAGCTAGGGCTCTAGGGTAGGTGGAGTTGATGGATGTTGAGGCAGTAGACTATGCTTTGCCATTCACGATCTGAACAGGTATCTGTTAGCACCTGTTGTGTGCTAGAACTACTGTTCTAGGCCCCAGGGGCACATACGGTAGGGAACTAGATCGACCTAAATCCGGGCCCTTCTGGAGCTGACATTCTAGCAGCGGGAAAGCGAGGAAAATGTATGGCGGTGATACGTGTGTGCAGAAAAATAAAGCAGAAAGAGGAGATGGGGTATGTGGGTAGTGTGTGCGGTTTTAAGTGGTGTCTTCAGAGAGGGCCACACCGAGGTGACATTAGAGCAAAGCCTTTATGGAGGTGAGGGAGGCCACATGGCTATCCAGGGGAAGATGTGGCTGGCAGAGGCCGCAGCCAGTGCAAAGGTCCTGAGGTATGAACATGTTGGTTGTTCCCAGGCTGGCAAGGCTAGAGCAGAGGGGCTGAAGGAGGACAGAGGGTATGGGCTCAAAGAGGTTCTGAGCAAGGGCGTTATTATCTGGCCTCCCAGGCCCGGGTGAGGAGAGGGGATGTATTAGAGGAGCAGTGGGCAATTTTAGGGATAACAAGGTTATCCCAAGGTTAAGGACAGGAATCCCTCTTGCTGGCTACATGGCACCTCCTGGGCACAGGGAGGGACTGTGCCTCACCCTCCCGAGCTTTCTCTGCCTGCACCCCCTCCATGGTGCACATCTGTGATGAATTATTTACTCCTTCCTTCCCCTCTGTAATGAGGCTCTCTATCTCGCCTCCACATCCGGCTCCTGGCATGTCTCACAGTGCAGCAGCTGCATTGGGGTCTCACATCTGACTCCCAATGGGGAAGCCAGCCCCTCCCTCCAGTGCCTGAACAGCTCCCGGCTCCTAGGCCTCTGCCCTCCTCCATGCCCAGACTGGGGAGGGCACCAGAAGTTTAGATCAACTGCAGTGTCTCAGAGACCACGGATTTCTTTTTTTATCAAGAAGGCAGAGATAAAGTGCAAACCTCTGGTCCTGTTCTTTGTTCCCCAAGCATTTATTGAGCACTTACTGTATGTCAAGTGCTATGCTGAGTACTTCACATGTACTTTCTTATTTTCACAACAACCCTGTGAGTTATGAACTAAATTGCCCCATTTTGCAGGTAAGGAAACTGAGGTCCAAAGAAGAAGTGACTTTCCAAGGTCACACAGCTAGGAAGGAGATGGTGGAATCTGTGCCCTGCCCCTGCCCCCCAGGCAGTCTGACTTCCAAGCCCAAATGTCTCACCACAGGGGCATTTCTCAGTGGTCAGTTATCTGGCCGCCCTGCCAGCAAGAAGGGACCCCTCTGTTGCATTCCCAGCATGTGGCTGCTGGTCTGTTTTCCCCAGGCTCCCTCAAGGT